CAATTTACAACCCTGTTAAGACAAAAAAGGTAAAACATTGTAACTTATCAGCCTCACTCAGCTACCCTGACATACTCCATCAGACTTTTGAAAATTATACCTACAAAGTTAGTTAACACACAGTACCACACCATTTCTCACATTCCAGTCCAGAAAGATACCTTGGGTTAGATATATGTAGTGGAATGAAACTCTTAGGTAAAACATGTTGTAAAATTATTGGATCAATATCAGTATCAAGGCAACTGCCTACCTACCCCTCCCCTGGCCCAACATTAACCCTAACTTGCTACAATTGACTGTTGATGGGTTAGGGGAGGGGTAGGTGGGAAGTTGCCCAGATACTGATATTGATCCAAATTATCTACCATGTGCTAAATAAAAGATTCAAGACCAAGGAAATTTTACCATGTATGGCAACAAATACCAATTTTGGCGAAATAAGGTGTTCTCCCGTCCCCCTCCCCTAGAAGATAGATGGGAATGTGAATTGCACCCGAGTTTACAGACACACATGTACATGATGATCGTTTCAGTCAGACAGGGGCTGTGATGTGGGTAGATCTTTTCTCCGTCACCTCTGAAGTCGAATTTCCCGATAACACAAATATCTTTCTCCCTCAAATGTTACATAATCCACTACTTACCTAGCTTTTTGTTCGGCGCTTTCCTACATCTTGCTTCGCGCTTATTTTCTACTTTCGAAGCGCCTTGCTTCGCTGTCTTCCCAGTAGGGCTGAAGAACGATCGAATATCCTGTAGAAAAATATGTAATTATAATTAAAACACCGGTTAAAAGACTGCCGCTGAGAACTAAAACAACTAACAAACCATTTTAGTATAGTGAAGTGTTTACATCTCTCTCCGACATTTCGAGCCATCTTTGAAAATCTCCTGTACTTTAGTCAGCGGTCAACCTACCTAGCTAGCTTCCAGACTCCTGCTATTTCTCTTCCGCTAATTTTCCGATAAAGACAACAGGTCATAAGATAACCATAATGCACTTATCAGCGGCCATCCCGGGGGGTTGACCCCGGGGACATACGGGGGAATAGGGTGGGATTTACTGACTTTTGTCGCCAATTTTTTTGCCCGCGACGGGGGCATTGGACCGCTTTTGCACTTCCGAAGCAAGATACACAGGGAAAGACCCGCCGCTATCTTAGGATGTTTTTAACTTTGAGCCCCGTATAGTAAACACACAGTAAGTGTATGTTCGTTGAAATTGTCATTCTATGACTTACAAGGTATAAAACTGAACCTAGCTGTGTGCAGAAAACAGGTAGACTAGCTATATTTGCTTATTGTTTATATTTTGTTAAACTTCTATTAAAAATTATGCAGGAAATTACGTTACAATTTGGGAGTCCTTTCAAATTATGCTCCCCGGGGGAGGGACAGTGGTAGCTTTTTAAATGCTTGCTCTATTGCGAACAAATCGGCACTGTTTGTCGATTATATCAACGAATACAAAGCTGACTTGTGTGCAATAACTGAAACTTGGTTGTCGGACAACGACTCTGCTGTTTGTCACGAGATAACTCCACTTTGCTACAAACTGTTCCACTGTCCTAGAAGTGATCGTAGAGGTGGTGGTACGGCCCTTTTATTTAGGGATAGCATAGATGTTTGCAAGCTTGAATCTGGCTCAAGGAATTCCTTTTAATTTTCTGGGTATCTCGTCTGCACTGGCTCCTTACGCATTCGACTTGTAGTTATCTATCGACCGCCGTATTCCACTAATCATCCTGTGACTGTCAACAGTTTTATTGATGAATTTTCAGAATACCTGGAGTCTGTTATATTATCTAATGATCTCCTCTGTCTAACTGGCGATTTTAATCCATGTTGATGATCACAATGATCCAGCTGCTTGTCGTTTCTTAGATTTATTGGAGTCAATGTCATTAACTCAACATGTGGTGGAACCAACGCATGAATATGGCCATACACTAGATCTGGTAATTACTCGAGAGTCAGACAACCTAATTTGCGGTCGACCCGCGCCTGACATCTTATTTTCAGACCATCTAGCACTACTATTTAAATTGAAAACAGCTCGACCACCTCTCAAAGTTGGCCGTGTCTCGTTTAGGAAGCTGCGATCAATTGATAGGGATGCATTTATGGATGAGATTCGTAGTAGCGAACTTCTCCAAATGGATACGGATGATCCTGATAAGCTTACTGCCTTATTTAACAATATATTGCGTTCCCTGCTAGATCGTCATGCTCCCGTTAAGCATAAGAATACTACTAGTCGATCATGTGTTCCATGAATGAAGGACGAAATTAAACTGGCTAAACGACAAAGGAGGAAAGCTGAAAGGAAATGGAGAGCTTCTAAAGCACACATCGATTTACCGTCTTACCGTACTATGAGAAATCGTGTGACATTTCTGAGTAACAAGGCTCGTAGTGACTATTATACCAACTTCATATCTGAGAACGGCACAGACCAGAGGAGGTTACTTACAGCAAGCAAGTCCTTGCTAAATTTATCGAAAGGTTCTGGCCTTCAATTATCTACCAATGATTATCAGTTGGCTAATGATTTTGGAAAATTCTTCTCTCAAAAAATTGCTGGTATCAGGTCTGATATCAGGTCTGTTAGTACAAACCAGATCTGCCTTCCTGTCAACGCAACTAGTACTGTAACTGCTTCCTGTTTTTCAGAATTTAATCTGTTGTCTGAATCAGAGGTGTTTGATCTAATCACAGCTTCGTCTAAGAAGTCCTGTCCTCTTGATCCTATTCCAACCAAGCTTCTTAATGAGTGCGTCGATGTGCCACTGCCTCCGATCACCAAAATAATTAACCTATCGCTTGATTCTGGTTATTTTCCGCGCACCTGCAAGTGTGCTCTAGTGCAGCCGCTGCTGAAAAAGGATGGATTACCCCCTGTCTTTAGGAACTTCGGACCAGTGAGTAATTTGGCATTTATCTCAAAGCTAGTTGAGACTGTGGTTGCCAAGCAACTACAACATTATTTAAATTGTAACAGTCTGTTCCCAGTGTTCCAATCAGCTTATCGACAAAACCATAGCACAGAAACTGCACTGCTTAAGGTTATGAATGACACTCTCTTGAACATGAAAAATCAGTGTGTTACTTTGCTAATTCTGCTCGACTTGAGTGCTGCCTTTGATACAGTTAATCACGACACCATGCCACGTCGACTTGAATACTCATTTGGTACACAGGGAAAAGCCCTTTCCTGGTTTGCATCCTATTTGTCTGGAAGAACTCAGCGGATAATGATCAACGAGTCACTATCTAAACCTTTTAAATTAGAATGCGGCGTGCCTCAACGTTCCTGCCTTGGTCCGCTATTGTTCACGTTGTACACGAGTGAGCTTTTTGAGATAATTAAACATAATCTACCCATGATTCACTGTTACGCTGATGATTCACAAGTTTACATCTCATTTAGTCCGAACGACAGAGCTGAACAACTTGCTGTGGTGAGGAATATGGAAGACTGCATCAGAGACATTCGTTCTTGGATGTTAAATAATGATCTTTAAGTTTAATGACGACAAGACTGAATTCCTCATCATTGGTTCGTCACAACTGCTAGGAAAGCTAGATAATATCAGTATACGCGTGGGTGACTCAGATATTCCGCATCCCGTGCCACTCGTGAGAAATCTTGGTTGTTGGTTTGATTCTAGGCTGTCCGTGGCATCACACATCACAAAAATCTGTGCCTCCTCAATTTACTATATTTATAATATTCGTCGGATCAGAAAGTATCTTTCACGGCAGTCATCTGAGATACTTGTCCATGCATTCATAACAAGTCGTCTTGACTATTGCAATGGTCTTTTATATGGACTACCAGACTGCTTGTTGAATAAACTGTAACGACTGGAGTACAGAACGCTTGCGCCAGATTGATGTTTAGAGAACAGAAATTTTGTCATGTAACGCCTCTTATTTATGAACTACACTGGTTGCCGATTAAATATGGAATTAATTTTAAAATACTTTAAATTACTTTTAAGATTCTTAATTTTTTAGCCCCTACTTATTTATCGTCTCTCAATTCTCTTAGGCTCCCGTCTAAATATAATCTAAGGAATTCTAGTGATAACCTTTTACTTAGTTATCCACGTTTTAAATCTGAAGCTACACTAGGTGATCGTTCTTTTACCTGTGCTGCACCGAAACTGTGGAATGCGTTACCATTTGACATAAGAAGCGCCAGCACAGTTAGTGTTTTTAAAGCCAAGCTAAAAACTCACCTTTTCCGTCATGCATTGTTATCATGGTTGTTTTTATTATTGTGAGTTTACTTTTAATTGTAATCTTAGCTTTTTAAATTATTGTAAGTCTACTCTTAATTGTAATTTTAGCTTTTTAGCCTTTTCATTTCGTTTTTTAATCTTGTCATGCGCATTTGAACATTTTATGGCATTTGCGCATTATAAATGTCCTATTATTATTATTATTATTATTATTATTATTATATGTAAGATACAGATATTATTATTTTGGCTCAGACTTTCACAAAATTTGACTGCTATGTTGAATTAAAATAGGAAAAAAAAAGGGTAATTGTTTCTTAATTAGTCTCACATACCTGCTGTTCTAGACCTGGAATAGCACCAGAGTTATTTTGAAAGGGTTGCAATTTTGGCCACTACTTCAACATCAGCAGTACTGGGTCCTCTCCAGCAAGGTCCCTAGTATCCTTGTATTGTTGAATCAGTCTTTCTACACGCACTTCATCCATTGTGCGAAAAAGACAATTTCACAACTAATTATTTTTCCACATATACCCGACATGATTTCCAACGCTCCATGTATTTGCTTTGGGCACTTAAAGTAACTTAACGAATTGATTCTATGCAGTTGTGTGGACTGTCAGCGCTGACTGAACTACAATTTGGAGTCTCCTATATTTCGCCTTCGGTCACTTTTCGAAGATAACCAGTACACTCTCAGTCTTAAATCTACCACTTCGAATTTCGATTCGCGCACTAATTTAATTCAAAATGAAATCCGTTCTGTTTGTAAATACGGAAAGCGATTGCGACGAGGCCGAATATCTAAAGGATTACTTAGCAGGTAGGCTACGCTCAACAGCAGTTGTGAAAAACATAACCGGCACTTTAGCCGAGAACTTAGATTTTAAGGGAGAACTATGTACTAGTGACTGTCTCATACTTATCAGTTCGCGCCAAGCTTCGTCCCTTATACAAGACAAATGCCAAGAAACCCAAGGAAATTACATTACATTTGACGGAAAAGTTTTTTAAGAAAAATACACAAGAAATTAAGAACTTGTGGGTAAAACGATTGTCGTTTGCTTCACGGCAGAAAACAAGAATAATTGGATCCCAACTGGTATGAACGAAAAAAAAAATGTTTAATTTAAATGGCGAGAGAATTGGACGAAATAATCCATACCTCCTCCTCCTTGAATACAATATAAGACAAGTGTTGGGAATAACTGAACTGGATTGGCAGAGGTGGACAATTTCATTCTGATTAACAAGGAGAACTGAAATGGCCGATGTATTTGCTTGAATCCTTCATAAAGAAAATATATGTCATATAGTTGTGTGCCCCCAGAATTTTCTCTTATTGCAGTGGAGACCATGAACTTATTTGGTAGACCAGTTAATTACTCAAAATGTGTAATTAATTGCCGCAGTAATTAACTATAGCTGAGTGTGATTGCTTGTGTTCTGCAATCAAAACACGGTTGAATAAAAATTGGATGTTGAAAATCCGAAATTGTAGCGCAAAGAAAGTGCATATTTCTGAGTGAAAGTTGACCGTGCTATCACTCTATGAATCCATTGGAATTGACGGTGTATGTTACAGGTATCTGACATTAATAGTTTTCTGGTCGGCACACTAACGGAGAGAAATGTAGCATGTAGAAAATGTTTATTCACTCCATGCTTAATTACGCACTTGGTTATTTGATGAATTATTACTGAAGAAAACAATTAATTTGATCAATAAAAATACAACATGCGTGTGTGTGCCAGTTGAATTGAAATTTTCTTTAATGCGTAATTAGGATTAATTGTTCGCTTAAAATAAAGTTTGATTTACTGCGGAAATGTTTGTCTCTTGATTTTTATTCACTGATATTTGAGTGGCCGGTAGTAATTACACAAAGCACCAAATGGAAATTGAATGAGGGAGTCAATCTATAGCTCACTGAAACAACTCTATGGCGAGACAGTACATGATCATGTTCGACAACAGTTGAGCAAAATAAATGAATGAGGAAGCTCCTACTACTTTCCAAGTAAGGATATGGAAGTGAGTGGGCAAAATGGTTTCTCTTTCGTGATCAGTCGTTTTTCCCTGCTAATCTAGATGTAAAAGACACTCGTCAGTGTTCGTAAAGGAATTAAGAATTTGTTTTTTTAATGGCTGATGATCACGCAAACTTTAAAGCGACATGTTTTCGAAAATTAGAAGACAGCTGCATAGCTGGAGGGTTTGTGTTGAGATGGGTGTGAGGCGATTTTGTTCATTTGCGCCACTCATCGTTTAGAGCAAACACACCATTGAGTGCACACAAAACCCGAATAAAAGGCACGCTCCTACTAAACTATGTTGTACAACACAAATGTGTCTTTCGCTGATTGGTAAAGTTTAGTTTGGAATAAATAATCATCAAAAGCCAAACGTAGAGACTTCTTTGAGAGTATCGTTGTTTACGTTATAAATTAAAAATGTAGATGAAAATTCATTCAGTCCTAAACGGAAAAAGAAATTAAAAAGAAGTATAAGTGTGCTCTCTAAAATTTAATACTTCATAAATACGAGAAAAAACTTGTTTAAGCTGTATCATAACCCATTTGAGCCATTTTTAAATTAATGCGTAGTTGATTGGGGTAATGCTTATCACTCAACTTTGCGCCCTTTACTTAGTTTACAGAGAATACTAAAAGAAGTAATAATAATCACGTACCTTCTCCTTCTCTTCCCGTTAGTTAAGTAGAGCAAATTCTACTCTAATCTTCTAATATTCATAGGATTTCATCAGGAATAAAATACCTAAAAATTCCATGAGCGTTAGGAAATCAAGTGAATTAACTAACGCCATGCCAATACATCTCGAAAGTTGATGTTTCACTAGGCTTTTCCTTATTCACCCTGGATGTTATAGAAGTAACCTACTAATTGTTTTGCTGCAACCTTCTTCCATAATCGAAACTGTTTCATTCCATCTAAATATTTTTTCCTATCAGAATAAACTATGAAGTCGAACTGACAGTTAAAACAACACATATATTGACATTTTTTCTCATTCTCCAACATTATTGACCATTTCTAAACATTACAAATAGAGGTTATGGATGCCTTTTTCGGTACGGCTTCTCTATAAGTCTGTAATCACGAAACCGCCTTCTTTCAATGAGATAACAACGTTTGCCAATACTTACGTATTACAAACAGCTTTCGACAGGAAAGAAATTCCCACCTCCTGTCTGTGTCCGAAGAGTACAAGTCGTTTCTCAACATTTTGAAGAAGTTTACTGGCAAGAAAAATTTACTCTTGTAAAATGTTCAGACCATAATTTGAATAAGTACTACTGGTATTCAATATCAACGCGTGTATTGCCACGTACAATTATAAACATTAATTCATTTACAACTGGAATAATCTAACCTTAGGGACAGCAAAGTGCTTGTCTGATTGTCTGCTTTACTGCCTGTCTTATTTCACTAACCTTCCAGCCATAGAGAAACGGATTTAACGTCGAGTTAAAGTAAACTAAGGTACTTACCACTCCCCTCACGACCACGAAATGTGATGAATATGTTTTACCGTTTCTGATCACAATCAGTTCCACTTTACCGTATAGTAAATAAAGAACGATTAAGGCTAAATATATCAGCAGTAAACTGCCTTTTTTATCGAGTAATGTTCAGTGTGTTTATTTGGCTTGGATGTTTTTAAACATAATCCTCTACTTTGGCGTGACGATGACGGAGAGCTTGGAAAATTTTCGTATACAAAGCGATTTAGATTACTAGGCAAGATGGAACACCTATACGGCTATATCATGAGGTTATACGGTGATCTAAACTGTGTAATAAGAAACTGACACCAGATAAAATCCAAGATAGAGCTACAATGACGAACGTGCGTTTTAAGTTACATCTTGTCTGTCTGTATCAACAACAGGGCGAGAAGTCTGTCCACGATCATTGCCGTCAACGTCAATAAAGATACTCCGCATAAAGTACAGCTTGTACTTAGTGCTGTGTCTAAAACGTATCGACAAATTCTCTAGTGTCTGTAAACAACAGACATCCAATGAGTAGCATGAAGAGGCTGGGTAACAAGAGCAACCAACATATCAGTTGTTGCCGGACAACGCCGTGAAAAGAGTTTGGAAGGTGGATGAAGGGAAGATTCCTTGTGAAGGGCAACAAGGGTAAGAGTATTCCCAAGAGATGCTGTGATGGAGAATGTTAACTGCTGGGAGATAAATTGATTGTTGTTGTAATCATTTACCAAAAAGGAGAAATATCGCGGTTCTTCAAATATAATCGTTTGTGCTCCACTTCCCGTCAAATTTGTTGTCCTTGTCATTCTGTGATCGTTTTCATTTTCTTGTAAGATACCTGTGATTGGATTAAGATATATACTTCTTCAGCGAGGATATCAATTCTACCTTTCTTTCTTAAACTCTATCTCATAAATACTTCCTCAGTAGTACTTATCCATTCAAAGTGGGTAGACAAACAGTCTGCTGCTTGAAATGAGTTAATTGAAGGCATTTTTTTCATGTTTTTTTTTTCATTTACCTTTGCATGAATTGGTTAAAAAAAGGCGAATATGGACACCTATGTGATATGTTAATTTATAGCGCTGCAAAAACCCTTTAATTTCCTCTCTCCGATGAAAATAAAAAAATTGTTTGCAAGAGATCTTGAGAACTTAAAATGGAAAGACCAAGCCATGACGTAAATCGTTCGAGGAGAAAATTGAAGAAAGTGAAAATCTCTAAATACAAAATAACAAAAGAGTTGAAATGAATATACGGTCACATACCATAATATATTTTAAGAAGAATTCTAGACAAAGTGATTCGCGCTAGGTCATAATATCATAATATAACCATTCAAGCAGGATGTTTAACGGAAAATTGCTGAGAACGGAAGTGTTGAATCAGCCAGATTTCATCTCCGTTGGAGGGATGCATCAAAAGATGTAACCTGCATTTTAAAACTTGATGAATGTTGTACAATACAAGCTTATCACTTCATGTGGCAGTTTTTGTAGCATCAAGAAGCATAATCATCTGTTTTTTCCCATGATTTGTAGGCGTGTCTTACTTTCTTTATCAAACGATAATAACATACGTCAACAAACAAGCAATTCTGCGATATTTAAGCCTCTTTTTACTGTGAAAAGTCCTCGAGAACATCTCGCGTAGGAAATTTTAATATAAACATCAAAAACGATCCAGTAGCCCCCTTCAGCAGGGTAATGCTCTCGTAAATTATTGGTCAATTTAGTGGGCCGTAATCATCTGGGCCTCTGAATCAACCCAGGTCAGAGACTCCATTTAGTTCAATTTTATTTTTGAGTCTACGGTGCTCATGGCAATGTAGACTCCTTTTCATCGTGCCCGTGAGTCCGTCCGTGAACATTCCCATCATTCGTAACGGCCTTACATATGCAAACGTTGTCAGTACTCAGTTATAATAATTCGTTTGGAAAAATGGCTGAAAGCACATTTCTGAATTGTTCGTATGACCCAAAATTCACTCCTTGCATCCATCACTCAATCACTCACTCTTGCCACTTCTTCTTTTCACTCCTGATAACGTTTTTGTAAGTACGCCAGCGTATAAGGCTTTCACGTGTTCAGTTCGAATTTACAGCATGGGGCTCAACTGATAGTTAAGAATTGGTCAAAATTTTGGCAGTCTGCTGAGAAATAACGTGAATTTAACCGAAAGCTAAGACCTGAGACCAGAAAATTTACTGATGGATGAAAAATCGGTTGAAAATCAAGACTACGAGCATAAGGTCTCAGTCAAGGTTTAAACAAATCTTGTGCATACGAGGCGCTCGGATAAATATATTCGGGTGACGAGTCGTCAGCATTACATTTCAGTTTTACAGACCTTTTTTTAACCTTGTTGATCTGGAAATTGAATACTCGATCGCCAAAAACCACAACATCCATGAAATGTTTTCTGAAATGATTAAAACCTCCCTTCGAAAGCGGTTAAGGAAAAAAACCGCTGTGCTTCGGTAATTGCTGCTAAATGGTAATTTCGATAGGAGATTTAGGAGTTATTAGACAGTTATTCCACGAGCGCGCAATGGATATGGGATGATAGATAACCAACGAGGCCCGTAGGTTACTTTATAAACTTTATTTTTTGACGCGTACACTTACCATATTTGTAAAGCATGGTATAATTGCTCATAACTCATCATGATAGCTAAGCCAATGAAACCTCTTGAATTGCGTCATCCAATGATCCACATTTTAGTAAAATAGATTAACATCCTCTGCTGACAAAATTGTTTACTCTCATAAACTGTTTGCGAGATGAAATATTGGAAAAGCAATTCTAAATATTGAAGGGTTAAGCATGGTACATATTAGACCTGTATCTGCAATTTTTATTCAAATTTTATTATAAGGGATCTGCCTCTAATCCCTAGAGTAAATAGAAAGAAATGGGGTATTATTGAATAATTAGGCTAAGTGATACAACATAGTTGAAAATTGATGCTCAAATGAGTGAACCTTGCCTCTTTAGAATCATCAACATCCGTATTTTGTTAAAACATACTCTTCAATTCTCCCAAACATCAATCAGAATTTCATGTTTCAATGAAATCTTGTGTTATACTAAATGTCACGTAACTTTTTGTGCTGCGCCTAATGATTTGTTGCTGAGTTCTATTGTGATTTTTTCCCCTGTGGGCCACCGTTATGAACTATATTTCTCTCATTTTAATCCTTCTAATCTTCTTCAATAACATCGTTCGACATCGAAGAATCATTCGGAGACAGAGATTAACAGTACCGCAAAGTAGGCAAGAGGAAATTTCCTTGCTATTTCTAAAATGTTGTTTATCATTTTTATGTATCTTGTTGTGCCACTTAAATCAATCGTGTTACTATTAGCTTGAAATCAAGGGTTCGTCGATGAGCTAACATTCTGTATTCTGTTCGTTTCACATCATTACCTTTGAGCTACAAAAATAAAATTGATTATTTATTTAGACAGAGTCATTGACAGAACCACAATGCAGGCAAGAAGGAGATTCAAAGCTCCTCAGATATTGGTGGTCATCATGACGTCCATTTTAGCGACATGTACAATTTCCCTTTATTTGACGAGTAATGACCGTTTCAAAACCACGCTGTTCAAGGGACTCACAGATATGGAGAAGAGAAGCAACTTCAACATTCACCCCTGGGAAGGTAAGTCAATCGGCGATTGTTATCCTCATTTACAATCCAAACTTTCTAAGAAAGAGATTCCGGTGTACACGAATCTGTGATGTAAACTTTGGGTTTGGAAAGGCTCTCGCACAGGGGAATTTTTATTTGCATTTGTCGCTCATTAGCATAGGCTCTTTATAATCCTATCAAGCTACAAAAATGTAAATACTGAAACCTAACCATCAACAATTACCTATGCCGCACGATGTCAAAAATAGAAATATTACAAAGAATGTATGGGTTCATTACCGCTTTTGCCACCCACAAAGTTGGCCGTTTTCCGATGGCGAATATTTCAATACGTTTTGCCCACAATAGGCGTCCACCTCACATATTTCAAAGACTAAGACGCTCTAGCAATTATTGAAAAAAAATTATCTCTTAATCTCACTTCTTTTCCATGAAAAAATACACGCTGTTGAAGAAAAACGTAAAACAATGACCGGATTAAAGATTCCCCTGCAATCCTCATGCTTTTCTACTACAGATGAATAAGGGGGGGGGGGGGGGGGGGGGGGGGGGGGGGAGTAAGTTCCTCAAAAAAACTGTGATAGCGCGTCGGTGAGGGGTATCACAAGATACTTTGCTTTTATCATCCTAATTGACAATGTAAATTGGTTACCGTAAAGAGTTTCTAAAGCCGACGTTTCGAACGAAGAAACTCTTCTAGGCGGCCAATTTGCATTATAAACCCAGTTGGGCTATAAAACTAAAATATTTTCGAGGATAAAGCAGTTGTCCCAAAGTAGATTCATTGTTTTCGCCATTGTTTTATTTTATCCAAGTACTGTTTGCATAATGAATGGTATGTTTGCATAATAATTGGTATGAGATTCTACAGGGATCTTGCTCCCTCAACAAATAACAATGGTAGAAAATAAGTCAGAATTAGCTTTTGTCATTTTACTAGACAACGCAGAACCTAAGAAACCAAAATGGATGAGAAAGTTAGAAATGAAGTGAATTCGGGAAGATTCCTTTAGCACCATGCTATTCCCATACCACTTACTCGAATGAAGGGCTAACGCTCGAAACGTGAGCTTTACAAACTCTTTACGATGGCCATTATCAACTCAGTTGAATTAAAACCAAATCATTTATATTCTTAAACAAAGCCACAGTCCCAAAGGTAATCTATTGTTTTTACCATTGTTTCTTTCTCCAAGAACTTTCTGCATAATGAAGCATGGGCTGTGCAGAAATCTTAAACTAACCTCTTTCGACCGCCTTTTATTCCTGTGTCATCGGATTTCAGAATTAATTGTCGTGATCAATTGCAACATTACCTAAAGCTCGATACAGCTCATGCACTTTCACTGTAGAAATAACCACTTGCGTAATCGAAATTTTAAAACAATACCGTACAAAATCATCAATAAAGTCTTAGTCTTTAATTGTTTTCCAGTCGATTGGTTTTACGGTTAGTTTTGTTTTAACGAACACCTCATATTTTCGGACGAACGCACGCATATCAATTTTTCCTTTAAATAAGATTTTAAAGGTTCTTCATTCTTCATTGATATGGTGTTGAGGAGGCTCTGTGACTCGCTAGCTCGCTATTGAAAAGACCAAAAGGAATCGTGACATTAAAAACAGAATTCTAGGGTTTTTAGTAGGAGTTTCGAAGTTAGTAGTAGATCGACGTGGTGCTTTGTTTCTTCTACAACTTTTTAGGGAAAAAAAAATTGCTTATAAATTTGATGCAATAGGTAATGAAGAGGCTGTGTTGAGATAGTGATTGAAAAGACCGTTTATGTGAGTGTTGAAAGAGAGGAATGATTGGAACCAACATAATAACCAGCTCCCAGTTGGCTTGTTAGCTCATTTAGTAGAGTGCTGCACCGGTATCGCAGAGGTCATGGGTTCAAATCCCGTACAGGTCTGAATTTTTTTTCACGCTTCATTTTCACTACTGCTTAAGTAGTGTTCATCACTGCAAAGATCGCTTTCATATTCATAATGATTGCTGTGTCGCGTCAAAGCATATTCTCAAGCTCGCGATTTGTAATGTGATGCGTAGCCCCTTAAAACGATGGGACAAAATGATCAGAATGTAGCTACTTTGCAGTACAAGTGCTCGCATTTAAAATTAAAATTTTTGACAAATGTGTGTTCACCATAACATCGAGGGGCTTCAAGTTAACTGAGGTTTTAAAGCGTTCAGAAAATAACAGTTCAAGACAAAACAGAGCGAAAATTATTCATTAGTTATCGAAGCAGAAACGCAAGTTGATCATAGCATTTAGAGAAGCGCCTAAATTTACACGAATATTTTTGGTTCATGCAGTGCCGTCGTGAGAAGTTTGTTTTTCATGAATGTATAGAAATATAAAATTATGCCTATATCGATATTTTGGTCGATTTCCAGGTAACCAGTTTAGTTTTCTTTGAAAGAGCGCTTTAAGAAACAGCGACCCGACAAGTTTGTCCTGTGAGAAATTTTGGCCACGCAAGATGGCCGAATTGTTGTCGAAAACTTATATCTAACATAATGAATTATTAACGAGTTTTAATTTGTAAAGTTCAAGGTAAGGTGAGGGAACGGAAAAGAAGGCCAGAGGCCTCCAGAATAGATTGTTGACCGAAAAAAAAAAAGACCAACGCGAAATATTGGTCGGCCACAGCACATGCGCGTAGTGCGACATTAAGAATTACCTACATCTGTTTTGACTAATAACTACGTTTTCTTTTCTAGTGTTTTCAACCTTGAAATCAATGCGAAAAGGGGTAAGTGTCGTAAAATTATTCCATATCACTATTTTGCCTGTCAAATATCCTCAGCGTTCACATTAAAAAATTTTAAAAATAATTTATTTCGATTCTTGAATCCTTTATACCCTCAACTCAGTTCGTTTATTGTCCACGATGTTCTCCTTACTTTTTCTAGGGCGCTGACGAGGAGAATTTGTTTAAGAACCAACAGCTTAATCTTGTTAGTTAGGGTGATGCTAGATGCTAGTCAGTCTTCAGAGTTTATTGGGTTGACCCTTTGAGACAGAAGCCTGAGAGTTCACTGTCCAAACTAATGATCGTGCATGTCTGAATCTGCTAGTACTGGCCATCTGATGTTATAATAAAAACAATAAGCCCCATCTGATTATGCTTGAAAACAAATCATTCAAGAACATCTAGGTTACTTCTCACATGATCTTTGATCCTTATAAAATAACAAGGATGCGGCCAGCGCCCTGATTGGTCCAAAACCTATGTTTTTCTTTTTGCATCAGGCAACCCAGAAAACATTAAAACAAACTGCCTTTTCTAAATTTCTTTTACAAAAGCAATAGACCACTCTCTCCATCAATGTACCAGTGTAACAACCCTTGCAGAATCTCAGAGGAACAATCAGCTAGTCTTAACTCAGGATTTACAACCTTTTTTCCTTTCCTCCTAGCCTCCTGTGTGGTTTATGACAGCAGTAAATTGATAAAGAGGGCAGTTCATTGCTTAAATAGTTCGCTAAAAAATTTGCTTGTATACCCCCTTGTTGTTTCTTTAATAATCATTAGGTTTGTTCTCATCCTTTTTTTTTCTTTTATGGCTCTCCGGTACTATTAATCTTTATTATGTGTATTATCCTATTTCCACAGAAAATAATTGTCTACAATAGAGTGGGAAAATGTGGAAGCCGCACTATGATACATCTCATGGCCACACTGACAAAAAAACTGGGGTATAAAGTGATTGGTTCAACCCAGAATAGTAACGGAGAAGTCACTCTTCGCGAACAGGTAACCGCTATTAAGGGAACGATCATCATTTATCGCGGATGAGGGGAGGGGTGGGACTAAGGACTTTTGCCATGTTACAATAAATTTATCTAATCCCCCCTGAGGTATTGTTGTGTTGTTATGATTCCTCAGTCAATGTTTTATAGTAACCCCCTTGTCTTGATATTCTGTTGGTAACGACTTATTCTCCCTCTGTTCCCACACAATGTGATCCCCCCAGATGTCCGTTTCCCTGCCTCCAAAAACAACATTGATATTGCAGTCTAGGAGAGGATTGATTACCGGGGGCCTGGCATTAAAAATAAGATGCCAGACCATTTCAAGATCTCTGGCTGGCTTGCGTTGCCCAAGGCTTCACACTTTCCCATGTATGCGTTTTGGCGATTAACGCAGCTGACATGTCCTAATTTTCTTTTATTCTTTCTTTCCATTTATTTTCTTTCTTTCTTTCTCTCTTTCTCTATTTATCTATCTCTTAATTGTTTTTCTCTCCTTCTGTTACCTTTACAGGTTGAACTTGTGGACCTCATAGATCAGTTCCAGCCACCATTCATCTATCATCACCACATACGTTTCGTCGACTTTAAGAGGTAACAACTCCTTTGCTACAAATTCACCGGCATGGTTAACCTTTCAACCCTAACCTGGCGGTCTGCATATTCTCCACACTGTTCTCTATGCATTTTTTAAGGGGTGCTAACAAGGAGAATTTGTTTAACAATCAAAATTTTCACAAGTTGTCGGTCATTTCCTCAATTTTCATGGCTTTTGTGTTTGATCCAGTAGTTATACTGTTAGAGGAAATTAAATATCAGTTACTCTTAGAAGATAAAGGATTAAAAGAGAGCCAAAGCTTTCAGGTGAAATAAAATCCAACTAAGATTTTAGCTTTACGTTTATAATTTTAATTCGTCTCTACAATAACAGTTGAAACACAAGTACCTTAAACCTGAGAAACATACGGAAGCTCGGAAGTGATCGGCTACAGCTATTCACCCTCCGAGCAGCCGAAGAGATAAAATCGCGACTTTAGGATAAACGGTGGAGTTCACCAACAACTAGCAAACGAGTTTATCGGTTGAAACTTAATAGTGCAATAGCCGAAAAAATCACTGCTTTACTACGAGGAGTGATTAACATTTATCTTTTATGTTTGCGATATAATTTTTGACTGGGAAAAACGTAACAGCAATAGATTGAGACGTTGATAACTCGCTTAATTCTATATAACCTAATATACAGGGAAGTATGTAAAAGTAAAAGGGGAGAATTAAGTATTAGATACGTGGGATCTAGCGTTAACCCTTTGATCCCTAAGAATAACTAACATCTAATTTCTCCTTACAATATCACCACTGAATCACACATTAATGTCATGAGAATAAAAGAAATGATCACCAACTAAAGAAACTCTTGATTATTACACAAATTCTCCTTTTCGGCACCTTAGTAAATGTACAGATAACAGTATGTAGAATATAAATACTGATGTTAGGGTGTAAAGGGTTAAGAGAGCCCGCAAAAAGGCCCTCAATATTAAGGCATCGACACAAGCCTTTCTCCGTCCGCGGGAAAGTTTGAGGCCTTGACAAACGCTAACCTGTGAGAGGTCTGCATGGGGTCTCATTATTAGTGCCAGACTTCAGGCAAATAACTCCCCGACACAATTCCTGCAGCACTGAAAATAAGGGCCTGCTCGCAAACTAGCCTTGAATAAAATGCAGTTATCTTTTCTTTACTCCAGATTTGGCGCCGTTCAACCCATTTACATCAACTTGATACGGGATCCCCTGGCTCGTATGGTCTCTTCGTACTACTACACAAGATTCGGGGATCATAGAGAAGGTGAAAGAAATTGGAGCTTCAAAGGCACGGAGGAACAGAAAAATATGGTTTGTGTAGTGAAAGTTACCTTCTTTATCGCTTTCGCTCTTTGATATGTCACGCAGTGCTATCAGGTCCATTATGATTTTACGAAAACGTTGCGTGACATCTCAAAGAAGAAAGTGAAGGAGACCAAACTTCCCCTAACTCTCCCCACTCTGAGCGATTGGCAGGTACGATGGATCAGCTTCTCGTCTACTGAGGGGGTAGTTGTAATACTCCTTATCATTTTCAAAACTCCACCGAAACTGGGGTAAACTCCGGCAGGGTGGGTCTCTAGGCACACAAGCCGACTTTCAGTTTTTCTTCTTCTACACCCAACCCTCCCTCAGAGCTCTCTTCTCGCTCCTCAGCAGAAAAGTGTCGACATCAACTCAAACTGGTCAACTGAAAACTTCCTAAAACTTCACTTCTCTTAAAAGTAACTTTTAATTTTTCCTGCCTACTCGTCTCCTTAGACCTTTGATGACTGCGTCAAAAAGGAAATGGATGACTGCGTCAAACCGCAAAGAGTGTTTTACATCATTCCTTACTTTTGTGGCAATGAAGTCTACTGCAGGTGAGAACCGTTATCATAACGATAATAATAATAATGATGATGATGATGATAATGATAATGATAATTAGAGTATTTCTATAGCGTTATTTACACAGAAATGATCAGTAGCGCTTTACAATGATTCACCTATAGAACTATTCTGCAATCATCTAAGTATACCATGTAAAATGTTAATGAGACAATAAAATAAAACAGGTAAAAAAATAAATCAGAATAAACAATAGTCATAAGGACAATAAAATTTCTGGTCTAAATTGGTTTAAAAATACCTGACCGAAAAGGTAGGTTTGAAGATTGCGTTTAAAAATTGTCACTGATGGGATAGCACGCAATTCAGCGAGCAAACTACTCCAGAGTTGAAAGCATTTTATTCCTTAAGCGGCTCCAGTAACAAGGTGCCGTTATTCAATCACTAATATACAGTGGCACCAATCCATGAATTTCCTTAAAAGCTAAGACTGATATGTTAAAACGAATACGAGCGCGTACTGGGAACCAGTGAAGATCATAACGCGCTGGTGTAAAATGGAAATGCTTACCAATGGTCATAGAAAGTCTCGCCGCTGCGTTTTGAATACGTTGTAATTTTAAGATCTTTAATTTAAGTAACCATACAAACGCCACAATCTAAGCGACAAATAATAAATGCATGAATAAGTATCACCAAAGAATTACGAGAAAAATACTTCTTAATTCACCTAATGTTATGTAAATGATAAAAGGCTGCATTACAAAGTCCAGTAACATGTATTGATATGTTTAACTGACTATCAAACCACACGCCGAGATTTCTAGCACACAGACCTGGATCAATGTCGCGTTCACCAACAGTAATACTACACGAAGTATCAATCTCAGTTAGTTGCTTTCTCGTTCCTATGAATAAAAACTCTGTTTTATCGTCAATAATCATTAACCTCTGCTTTATCATCCAATTTCGTAATTGTCAATGAATCTAGCCATAGCGCTATTAGCTTCATTCTTACAGGCATCATCAGCAGGTTTTTATCGGAATTCACGTTACGCAGTTCTTAAATTTTTATTTACTTATTCATTTATTTTTATTTTATTTTATTTTATTTTTTTTATATGTATGTATAGATTTTTTCGTATTTTGACTGTAAGGCTTGTATAGTACTCTTTATGCGTATCCTTTCATTTTGTCCCCAATCAGTTCGTATAGCTTAAGTGTAGTAACTGTTGAATTAGTTTATAATTATTATTACTTCCCCAACTGGTTTTTTTCAGTTTAAATTGAAACGTTGTGAATAAACGTAGTATTAAAAAACCCTAAGAGACAAGCCAGTTGGTTTTCTACAGAGCGTAGCTAAGGAGATAACTCGGGACAACCAAGAACAAATCCAGTGAGTAGCAGGGTGCAACATGGAGGGTTTGAACCTGGGACTACCAGATTACAAGCCCACGCCCTGACCACTCCGTCACACTCACCTTTCATCAAATCCTTGCTGTTTTCAAGCTTATCTCCTTCCTTTTCATCTCTGTCCAGGAAACCAACAGAACAAGCGCTTGAACAGGCCAAGAAAAACGTCATGGAAAATTATTTGGTGGTTGGTGTTACGGAGCAGTTGGAAGATTTTCTATTTGTCCTTGAAAAACTTTTACCAGAATTTTTCACGGGCGTACTAGACACCTATAAGACTCCAGGTTAGTGCATATCAAAACAAAATAAAGAAAGACAAGGAGATGCATGATACTAATTGTTCTATTACTTTCTCAAGCGAAAGAGAAAAACAGCGGAGTATCAGTCTTCAGCGTGATCTCTCATAAATTGTCTTCTTTTAATATTTTGTGTCAATTCTTGTTCAATTTATCTATTTTCAAGACAACTCGCGTCATCCTTATTCACAACTAAAACCATTCGTAACTTGTTCACCCGCGTCTTCCCGTGGCTTAAGCAGATTGCTTGTTTTAACGTTGAGTTCTCATTGTACTTGTGATATTTTCGTTTCTACTGGTTTCCTTTTTATAGTTTCCTATATTAATTTTTATCTTTTTTTCAGACGATAATCTCAATTCCAGGATGACATCTACCAGAACCGCGAACAAGAGGGGACCTTCTCCGAAGGTGCAAGAGATAATGAAGAAACGTATGGAACTAGAATATGAATTTTATGACTTTGTAAAGGAAAGATTTAATAGCCTGAAAGCCGAACTGATGTCTAGAAAAAATTGCTGAATGCTGGGCGACCAAATTTGTCTGAATAGTGAACCCTCGCTTTGCAAGGGAGCATACGAATGGAAGTTTGAGAGAAAACTTCAGTGAAGACATTTTGACATTTATAGTGAGTTTTAGTCAGTCATGACTGAATTGTTAGTTAGAGGTGGACCTCTGTTAACTATTATCGTAAATTGTAGTGTCTTTAAAGCGCTCTTTTGTGATTATAACTTAACGACAGGGGTGCTTAGTTCTCCATTAATTTTCCATCAAGATACAATTGACCTAGCTTTGAAGATAGAATTTGAAAATCTTTCCAATAACCTTTTTTTCCTTTAATGTTGTGGTCATTTGTCAAACCACGGCCGCCATTAGCACAGTTTCATCGTTTTTTTGAACTTTTATATGCTATAATCATCTTCATTGATATCAAGATTACAATCATCTTATTTATTTTTATTTATCGTTTACTAGCTTTTATCATTCATTGTGAACCTTGATTGTATCTGACTATTATACATGTGCCCCTTTTACCGTAGTTTGAAAAAAAGGCATTGTGGTATATTTACGTCTAATAATGTATATGACAAAAAAAAAATACGTGCGTCTGATTGGGTGAAAATGAGTGTATTTTTTATGCAACACGAATGCAAAGTTAAGGCACTCGTGTCTATTTAAACCAAATTGCATTCGGAATCATTTTATAACCTATATTTATTTGTATTCGTTATGTCATTGCTTTTATCTTACATAGCGAACTTGATTTGTCTATTATACATTGTAAAATATGTACTTTTTACCGTAGGTTTGTAACGCGCATGTTGGCATATTCATATTGATTAAATATTCAAGGCATGCCTATTTAGGTAGGCTTTGGTTGTAACAAATGTATGAGGTCAAATGCATTTATAACATAGCTAGTAAATTCGTCTAATCAAATTCAGTTACGCGAGCGAGCTTCATATTCCTATTGTGCACACTCATAACGTCAGCAAACAAATCCCTCGAGAAAAACAAATTTTCATCTTTCATGCTCTCCAAACTTCCCGCGTGCTTCATATCTCGATGAACGCACGCTGACGTATGAACCAATTGTTAATTTGTTTTGACCATCCTGAGTTTCGAAGTTACCTCGTGCTCGAAGGGGAGGGGGGAGAGGGGGTACAAAGGCACACTATGAGGTGAACTCAACATATAAGTGCATGCCGCCAACCAGGGTATGGCTCTCGGAATCTTGGATCTCAACTAAGGTGCACAATTTGACTCATTCGTGCCTTGAATACAGCGTCTCTCTGGACATGCGGCCATAAATATATTTCTAATTCTAACAGTCATGGATATGCCAGATGAAGCTTCCAGAAATAAATATGCCACTTTAAATTTTCTTTTATTTTCACACAGTCGTGTTTGAAAAGTTAGCCTAATATCCTTCCCCCGGCCCATGCATTTTCTTTCCATCATAGAGAAGTCAGACAGCTTCCCTGGTAGCAAAAGTTTTTACCCCTCACATCTCGAAACCTCCGAATATCAAACACCATATGCAGTACGAGATAAGTACTGCAAGCCTTAGCAATATTTAAGGGTTTCAAAGCTGCCTGTAAAAATGACTTACCTTAAAGTCTTTACCGAGAGCTTCACTCTTTGTCGTCTTGTGCTTTCTCGCTCTGAATCACTTTTGAAAGACATTACTTGAGCTAGGGGGCACAGCGTATACCTTCAAACTGTGACTCCTTCTTCAAACAAAATCGACCCATTTTGCTCTCCCGTTCATGAAAATCGTTTACCTGTGATTGTAGCGTACTGGATCAATATCAATTATTTATTTCACCACGTTATCGTCTAAGAGCACAAGTGCTCGTTCAAAATACCATCTAGCATTAAAAGAAAAAGAAAAAGAAATGTAAATCCATAATCTATAATCTATGTACACACAAATATAAAATGTTATAAAAATTACACACACAAAAATTAAAAATATAAAGATTACAGCTGAATCAATCTTAGCTTAGACTTAAAAACATCAACATCATCGGCCAGCTTGACATCCTCTGGAAGTTTATTCCATAGTTGAGCACACTTGTAAGTAAAGGAGTTCCTCATAAAATTAAGATTAGATTTGGGAACGCAAAGATTCACACCATTTCCTCTTAAATTGTGAGACGTTTCTCTTATGCGTAAAAAGTCTCTATTGTATTTCGGCCCTATATTCCTAATGCATTTAAACAATAGAATCAGAGATTGCTTCTTTTTCCTGCACTCTGAGTAATCCAACTTACATATATTTAAGAGGTCTTGGTAAGGTAATGATTGACGTCTTCAATTTTATTGACCTGAACTTTCCCCACGCCTAACAGGAGGGGACAACAGTATTCTAGATGTGGTAAAATAAAGACTTGTATAACGCTAGCATAACGTCCATAAGTACAAAACGCTTAATTCTCCTAAGAGCGCCGGTCTTCGCATACGCCTTTTTTAGCTGACTAGAAATATGCTCTTTAAAGTTTAAAACATGCTATATCAAGTTCCACGCCCAAGATTCTAATACAGGGAAGTGTAGTGACGCCAGAATCTTTCAAAGTGAAGTCAAAATCGTACTTGCAAGGACCGATCGGAATAGCTTGCGTCTTAGCATTGTTTATTAACAAATAGTTGCATCGAACCATTCCGACAGGCGGCTGAGACCCTGGTTCACTGCAAATTGCAGGGCAATGGGCGAGGCATCTGATGCATACAGAGTCGTGTCATCAGCATAAAACTGAGCACACACCGTGCAAACAAACCCTCTGTTTACGACCCAGTAGATAAGATGACATCAAACTCAAGGCAGATTCACAGAAACCATAGGCTTTTAACTTTTCCAACAGAAAATTGTGATTAATAGAGTCAAAAGCCTTTGATAAATCAACGGCCACGGCCATGGCTGACTCTCTGTTGTCAGGGCTCCTTCTCCAATCCTTGGTCACTTTCAGAAGAGCGGTGCAACACGAATGGTTCTTTAGAAATCCAGAGAGGTTTTGTGACAAGTGGCGACAGAAAGTGTTGTAAAGCTGATCGTACATAACTTTCTCATAGACCTTTGACAAAGCCGAAAGGCCGACAAAGGGCGATAGTTCTCTTTTCGCGTGTCCTCATCCTTTTTGAACACGGGTGTCAAATTGCTGCACTTCCATTCGTTTGGCCAAGAAGAGAAAAGTTTTAAAACGTTTATCAAATGTGTAATCTCCTCGGCCATGACTGGTGCCGAGAGCCTCAAAAGACGCGGTGAAATGCCATAGGCGCCAACCGCCTTTCGTGGATTTAAATTTTCCAGAATCTCTTTCACATAAGCGGAGCTTACTGGTTCAAAGGTAAATGGGTGTTCGAACACCTGTATTGACGTAATCCCTCGAACACTCGGGTGATCACTAAAATTTTCCACGCTGCCGCGATGGGTTTCAAGTGCAATAACCCACGCGAAGTAGTTGTTGGACACTACCACTTCACTGGGCTCCGTCAGGACTTTACCACCCTCTACTAATGTCACGCTGTTCTGTTTAAACAGGGACGAGTTAGGGAGTAATGGCTTCATTGTTTTCCAGAACTCCCCAGGGTGTTTCGCATTAGATGTTGCATTTTACAAAATTCCTTGATGCCCTTTCTCTTTAGCGAAGTGATTTTGATACCCTGTTGCTTATAGGCAACCCAGAGATTGTTAGTTCGGTTCTTCCTGTAGCGTTTAAACAGCCGATTGCGCCGGACAATTTCGTGTTGAATTTCAGTTGAGATCCAAGGTACTTGATCCTTGCGCACCCATTTTTAGCTTCTGGTACTCGTGCATTTGCATTTGCAAGCTCGAGCTCTTCTCGTCAGTGCAATTTAAAATGTTATCCATGCATCATCTAAAACACACATTTTAATTTTTTTTTTTTTCATTAGCCGTCTCAAACAACTTTACAAAAAGGAACACACTTTAATATTCATGATTTCCTAACTTGTGAGAAAACTGTCAACACTGAATCACCTAACATATGATGAAATGGCATTAGAAACAAAAAAAACCCTTTTCATTACTCAAAACGAGAGTAAAGAGAGTTTCACTTCCTTTTGTCAAATAATAAAACCACGGATGTTTTTATGTTTGAGTTGTAAATTAACTCCTAGCCCTAATTCGCACTTAAGTCAAATTACACCGACCAAGATTAACAGCTGACCGTGGTCTACGATGTTGTTCTCTAAAAAGTAGGCCGTCATTAGCATGAATCATTCCCGAAAAAAAGTTGCAAAGAAAATGCTCTGGCAGAGAGTCTAGAGATTTAATAATTCGGCGTTCAGTAACTCACCCTTAGCCATTTAAATTACGCGTCAGTCTTAATGGCTTTGAGTGGGTTTCAATAAAATGTATTGGATATATTGGAACTATTCTGCAACCTTTTAAGTCATAAATTTAGAGCAAATGTCTTAAAAATGGCTTACTGCTGAACAGGTGTTTCCTCTCTTGGGTGATAATAAATGCAACGGAAGCCCACGAAAACAAAATTGACTGTGACACAACAGCCGGTTCTTTTGCTCATTTTTAGTTCGTGAACGCTATCGAAAAGGTGGTTAGTCTGAAATACAGAGGGGAAGTTTGTTTTGCTTATTAACGGCCGGGCGAGTGCTGTTACGATAAGACTTTTCTCGTTGCTGTAGTAGATGATCTGTTGGGAAAAGGAAAGGACTGCTTCAGATTAGCGGCGTGAAGATGACGGCAACTCAAATAACAGAGGGTGGAACACAAACCAAAACGTTAACCATTCCAGAACTAGCATGTTCCCGGGCAAGTGATATACAACCGTATGCATATTATTTCTCGACAATCCATATTCTGCTTTCCCTAACAGCAACTCTTGGCAATTCTCTTATCCTTGTTGCCCTTTCCAAGGAATCCTCCCTTCATCCGCCGTCCAAAGTCCTTTATCGTTGCCTTGCAACAACAGATCTGTTAGTCGGCCTCGTCGTTCATCCTTTGGCTGTCATCCATTTTGTGTCCTATATCCACGAAGACTGGGGTCGTTGTCGATGGACACACAACGTAGTTTTCATATCAGGCTATGCGTTATGTTCAGTATCTTTGTTGACGATGGCGGCTATAAGCGTGGACAGACTTCTCGCTCTGTTGTTGGGGTTGAGGTACAGACAAATTGTAACTGTAAAGCGCATTCATGTCATATCAGTTACCTTTTGGATTGCATCCGGCATCTTTAGTTTATGCCAAAGCTTAAATGACCACATAACATTTTGGTCTAGCTTCGTAGTTGCAGTGTCTTGCTTGATGATCTCATTCGCATCTTACACAAAGATTTTTAGAGCTCTTCGTCTTCATCACACTCAAATACAAGATCATGATCAGCAACATCCGAGCCAACCAAATGCACTAAACATCGCACGTTACAGAAAAGCAGTGTACAATGCGCTGTGGGTGCAGTTAGCTTTATTCGTCTGTTATCTACCTTATTGCATACTGGTAATTTTGATCACTTTTAGTAAAATACCCCTAATACACTCATCAGTCAGTGTGGCCGCACTAACGGTGGCTTTTGTATCCTTTAACTCAACCTTGAACCCGTTCATTTACTGCTGGAAGATTAGCGAAGTAAGACAAGCAGTAAAGAAGACAATCAGACAAGCACTATGTTGTTCGTAGGGTTAATTTCTGTTCGGGTTAGAATTTTAATTGATCCTTATAAAGCTAGGGACTGAAATTACTGTAAGCAGAGAGTAAACCAATATATCATCGGATAAGGAGAAAAAAGACTTCAAACGCTTTTGTACTGATACCACTGTATGGTGAGTGAAGACAACATAACTGATCTCCTCACAAGTGATGAAAACCTGATAGATAGCCCCATATCATTAGAATCGTTGTAACGATTGGAGTTTTCCTTATCATGAGCTCAAAATATGAAATCTCCGATGTCTTAAATTTGCCATGTGAATGAACCGGTTCTTTAAACTAATTCGCACTTAAGAGCTAATGTTAACAAGTATCAGACAAACAGCGGCAGGTCACCCAAAATTTGCTTTCACCCCTACTTCATATTTTGTAACTCAACATGTCCTAATAATTGTGGTGTAGTTTTTTTGTGAAAATATAGTTTAGTTTTCGAGAAATAATTTTTTTCGTTCGACCGCTTAAATATGCAAATTTTCACCGTGAATATTACCCGAGTTGTGTATCCTCGTGTAACGAATATACTTGACCTCCGGTATTTCTGTCAACAAAATCCTTCGTTTTATTATCTAAACGTAATCCCCTGTCATTATTGAAGCTAGTAAAGTAATATTTATTTTTTGGTGAATATTTTTGTCCGACATACAAGTTTTCCTATGTCGAATAGTAGCATCAAAACAAAGATAGTTTTACACGGACCGATATGACAGAATCTAATGAGCTTCGAGCTTTTAAAAGACAAAAAGATGGTTAAAAAGTTACTGTAAAAGTGTATTTGTGTTGTTCTATCTTGAGACGAACTCAAAGTCCGGCAAAATTTACTCGCTAGCGACTATGAAATATACATGGTGTGCCTACTTGTCGCCACCGTTTACCGGCATAAATCACTACAATTTGTAAACAAAATCTAACATAACAATCTTACCTTATTTATAATAATTTTATGAGCTGTTTCGATTACTATATAACGCCTGGGTATTATTTTTGATAGGAGCCCAGGTTTTGCGTTTTGTTATCCTCTCCCCTATTTCCACCATAAGCTAGTCACGCAATAATTTATACACAAATGAATATTTACCCTGTACAGAGATTTTTGTTTATGTTTAATTAAAAGTACTATGTTGAGGAGAATCACAATCACGGTCCCCATGTACGCTAGCAGTAACAGTGTTAAGAATAAACAAAACTTGGAAAAGTTTTGTTTATTTTTTATTTTATTTCATTACGTTCAAAGCCAAACATTTACCACTGCGCAGCGCAACAGCTACGCGACAAGACGTAAATACGCGCTCGACTATTTCGCTTAGCACAGAATTTAACTCTGTCACAACTTCTGTAGAGAGGTACCAATCATAACCTTACTTGAAGCTTGAGTAGTCCTCTACAATTGGTCTTTGTTCGAACAACGCCCGAAATCCGGTCTACAAAACATCTCCCAAGCCACTAAATGTGAGAAGATGCAAAGATAACTACTCTTACAAATTTGCATCGTCGGTAAAAATCATTGCAACCGTAAGCATCTAAGTAACTCGTACCAACCATAAACACTATTCCGCTCAGTTGGTGGAAAAATCCATACCAAATCATCGCTGAACAAATTGCACATGTAATCATTTCATTGCTATTTTTTTAACTAGATCATAAAAATTAAGGTAATCGTTTTGAGCCCTCCTTAAGCATCAATGAGTTACATAATAATTCTGAAGAGGATCAGTTCAGTGGGAAGGAGATGTGCAACGATCTGAAAAATTCAGACGTACCTAAATTAATGGTATTGATTAGAACCGTGACGTAATGATAAAAACAAGCGCAACAAAAGGGAAGAAAGATCACAATAAAAACTGCAAGGAACCCCGTCAAGTCCTCCTGAATAATCCTTGCCACGACTTTTTGTGTATAATCCTGTAGTCCTGGAAAAGATGAAGGGCTTTGTTGGATAAGAAACAATGTTACATGCATTTTTTTGCTGATTTCCGATCTATACAAAGAACCTCGAAAATCATAAACACAGATCAATAAAATAACTTGTTTAGGTAGATTCATTCGAGTTCTGCAAGCCAAAGTTAAGCGAATTGCAAATAACAAGGGCAAGATTTCCTTGTAACCCCATACCTAATTAAGCATACAGTTATTGGATAAAAGAAGCTTGGCGAAGAAAATAGATTTAGAACTAAGGTTTTGTTTCAGAGTAGCACAGGGTTATACGGGAATATTTTCATCACTAGTTTTCCTTCCACACTGCTCTAGAAAAAGGACTGACGAAAAAAAGCGAATTTAAAAATGTCCCATACAGTACAAATCTTGAGCTTGGTTGTGAGGTAAATTACCTTGTCACGCAAGAAAACTTAAATATCTTGAGGAAGTTTAACAAGACAGCCAAAGATGCAAATATCCACTGTGCTTTACTACCAATGTATTGGAAAGGTATTATATACAGGATCAAAAGTAGGCCTAACCAGTCAAACGTGCTCATCCACTCGGTGAAATATGATTGTCTCTCACTGCAAGAACAAAGGTCTTTAACGACTTGGCTTAATCACCCAATGGCTCGTTGTGTTTCACACTTCTCAATAAAGATATTGAAATAATAAGTCTGTGTACTTAATAAAGATTCAGACAAATGGATAAAGGGGGTAAGTTTCTAAAGAAACTGTGGTGCTGCGTCGGTGGGAGATTATAGCAGGTAATTTAGTAGTAACAACTGAGTTGAAAACATAAATTAGCCACCGTAAAGGGTAAAAATGCTGACGTTTCGAGCGTTAGCCCTTCGTCAGAGCGATTGGAGGAATTGTGGGTTGTGTGTGGGTTTATATGCGGAAAGTGGAGCTACACTATTGTTGGGAATATGGTGACGAGAAAACAGGAATAAATTAGTTGAATGAAAAGCGCTCGTTGATTCCGTAGAGATTAAGGGTGCTGATTTGGAAGATAAATTTTTGTTCTAGTGTTTTGCGGCTTTCCGAACTGCCTAGATGCAAGGAGAGGCCGCAAACTGCCATATGCTGTTTTGAATGATTAAAATAGTCAAATATAGCGGAAAGCAGTAGTTGTAGAGATGTAGGGTTGTAATTAGCACCTCTTTCTTTAGAAGAGTAGCACACGTTGACAAGAAACTCTTTCGTTGCTATTTCAAGTGAACTGGGCCCGAAGGGACAAAGGAACATAAATATCAGAGACAAAAATGCGGGGCTAAAACATGGGGCTGGCCTAAGTTTTTAAAACTTGGACCGTTACGGTATGTTTCATGAGGCCATAGTATAGACAAAACTGTCTATGGCCCGGACTGTAAAAAGCGTAGAATATTGTGTTTATTAAAATATTCTTACCATGTAACATATAAGTAAGTAAGTAACATATTCAAAATGTTTCAAGACATATAAATAAAAAAAATTGATGTATAGGAGAAAAACCATAACAACCCAAAAAATAAAACCAGTAAGCCACAGTCTCTACAGTGAATCCATATTTGGTGAATACGTACACAGCTGTTTCCATAAAGGTTGTCGGAAAAAAAAAGTGCTCGTGACAACCCCAATAGGTATCGTGGGAAGTTTTCAGATCACGGTTCTTTTCCCTCAGGATTTCAGGGAAAACTGAGAAAACGTCACTGTAAGGAAGAGGCATCATAATCTTGACGAGTTTATCTATTTATTTAATTTCTTAAAATTCACTGATTACCAGATACCCAGATTATCTTTCAAGATTGTCACGTGCACTTTTGTCCTTTTTTCCGCCAACCTTCCTCAAAACAGCTGTGTACATGTACAGCTGACGAATTTTGTTAGCTTGAACGAGTTGACTCGTATCTTGACAATCTTACTTAGTTTTATAGTTTGATACACCGTCATACTTTTGCAGCTTTGTTGATCAGACATTGCATCTGGGTGATAAGACGGTCGTCATCTGAGAGATAAGACGGTCGGGCGATGGGACACCAAAACTATTTATAAGGGTTTTAACATTGGAAGCCTCTCTACTCACATTCTCATTTGATTGATTTCTTCAAAGGTATAAAACACGACCATAAGGAGGGTGACAACCTCACAAAATCCATGTAATAAATCTGCTGCACCCCTGCACTAAGTGGGGTTCAGTTTGGTAGAACCATACAGTAAGGAGTATGACAATAACAGCACGAAGATAACATAGAATGCAGCTTAAACGCTGCCGAAAAACGAAACACGCTTAAACGCATGACTATATGCGTTAAATCAATTCATGTTTAAGTCAAATTTCTTAGAAATTGAACAAAGCCAAATCCTGAGGTTTTTTCTTTCTTTTTTTTACCAAATGAAACGACATCAACAGCTAAAATTCTGTTGAAAAATAAGAGTGAAATTTTGTCAGAAAAGGGAGGCACTGAGCGAAAGAAATTGGAGCTTCAGATGCACAGAGGAACAGAAAAATTGGTTTATGTAGTACAAGCTACCGTCTCTATTGAAGTCACTATTTGTTACTATCACGCAGTGCTTGTAATTTTAGTTTCGTTTAGAGAAAGCGTTGCGTGACATTCCAAAGAACAAACGTTCCCCAATTGCGCTCTTCAAATTGAAACATTCTGAATAAACGTAGTATTCAAAATCCCAACTGTCACGAGGCAGCCCAGTTGGCTGTGTACAGAGCGTAGCCGAGGAGATGACTCAGGACAACCAAGAACAAATCCAGTAAGTAGCCGGTGCAACATGAAGGGCTTGAACCTAGGACTACCAGATTACAAGCCCACGCCCTAACCACTCAGTCACACTCACCTTTTGCCAAATCCTTACTGTTTTCAATGTAATCTCCTTCCCTTTTATCTCTGTCCAGGAAACCATCAAGAAGAGCGCTTAAACAAGCCAAGACAAATGTCATAAAAAAATTATTTGGTAGTTGGTGTTACGGAGCAGTTGGAAGATTTACAATCTGTTCTTGGAAAACTTTTACCTGAA